CTGCCCCCGGTGCCCAGGCTCTGCCGCATCAAGGCCTCCAAGGCCCTGAAGAAGAGGATCCGCAGGTTCCAGCCGGCCGCCCTGAAGGTCATGACCTTGGTGTGAGGCTGCCAGGCCGTGGCCAAGGGCGTCCAGGCCGGCGAGGGGCCCTTGCTCCTCCGGGAGCCACGGACGCAGGGCGGGAGGGCACAGCGGGGCTCCTGGCCAAGGGCGGGTCCGGCCTAATGCAGGTGTGTGGATTGTGTCCTGTGACCACTTTGCCAAACCTCTGAAGCCACCATTTGAAAGGGGTCTCCGTGGAGGAGATGATTCAGCAGGTCCCGGGGCTCCCCCGACAGGTTAGGCTGCGACCCTGGGGGCATCGCCTCGCCCCGCCCAAAGGAGACGATCCCATAGAACTCTGAGATTTCAGACCTGGCCGACCTCCCCGGCACCCGGTTCCTCCTTTCTCAGCCTCTCCCAGCACCGATGTCTCACCCCGGCCTCCCAGGTGCCTGTGCTGTGAGCCTCGTGGTTACTCACCTCTGTCCTGTTCCATCTGAGCTGGGCGGTGGGTGTGTCCCCAGGCCCGATGAACCATTCCTCCCCAAAAGCATCCTTTTAAGAGATGGTTGCAGGGCTGTGTTCTGGAAACTGGACTGGAATGTGAATCCCATGTTAAACCTTCGATGTGAATAAACACCAGGTTATGCCATTATCCTTGCAAACCAGTCTTTCCCTTTTAGCCTCCCGGCCCTCGAGGGAGTAGGTGGCCAGCAAAGCCTGGTTCTTCCTCATCACGTGGGTGGACACCCTCTCACCCAGGCTGGGAGAACGCATGTCGTGTGACAACACCCCAGACTCTTTCCAATTCTCATAAATTGATCATAAAAGTGTTTTTGAAAAGAAACTTCTCTAGGTCTTTATTTTTTGAAGAACATTTCCCTCAGCTTTTCAAGAAGGTAGGATTTTCAGGGAAGCAGTGCTGAGAGCTGCACCGTCTTTGGTTCATAAAGCAGCTTTACCCTGAGTTGCTCAAAGCTGCTGCTGCGGTCCTGGGTGGGGGGTGCAGGACGTCTACCCTGTGGGCCCTCGTGGGGGTCTGGACCCCCTCAGCCCCTCCTTGGGGCTAAATGCAAGGTTGGTAGGAACTTTTGAAGGAAAATTAAAAAAAAAGAGCTACAGTAGTAGACTTACACCAGACCTTAGGGCTCATGGAGCAGAGAGCTAGTTTCAGGGCGCCGTTCAGAGAGATTAACATTTAGATCAAAGAGGAAGCCCACCTGTTTGACCTGGGCTGGGGTTCCTGAGGCTGGAGGCACGTTGTGGGGCCTGCTGTCTGCGAAGCCTCAGACACAGCCGTTGCAGGGGCCCAGGGCAGACCGAGACTCGGGCGTGGCCCGGAGTCTGTCCGGACAGCGCGCCCGCTCGGGCTGCGTGGCCTCTGCTTACTGAGAGAGGGGACGGGGCGGGCTGAAGTGCTCTGCAAAACGGCATTGATATTTGAAGAAACATTCAAACTCACCTGTGACAGGTTTTTTGGTAAAAGCTGTTACTCGGGGCATTTTCTTCAGTGGTGTCATTCTCAGCTTTGTGGCAGCAGAGGCGGGGGGAACACCGATTTTGTGGGGCCACCTAGCAGGTGCAGCTCTGGAGAAGGGTTCCGAGCGTGAGGATCCCAGCCCCGCCGGGGTGCCTGCGGTTTCCCGTCCGCATCCCTCACCAGCCCGCCTGCAGAAGCGGCTGTGAAACTGCCTGCGGAGTGTGTTCTGCTGCCTGACACCGCATCCTGCGTTTGCTGGAGCCTTTCTCACTCACTTCAGGCTTTGAGTGCCATGTTTGGAAAGTGCAGACTTCCCTAGTCGTCGTGGGCCCGTCCTTGGTCCTTGTGCCACCAAAGAGGACACCCAGGCTGTGTCTCTGGCCCAGATGTGTAGGATCAGTGCTGACGGGGCCTCAGGGGTTCTCGGACTGTTTGTCTCAGAAACCAGGCTCCACTTTCTAATGATTGAGGTTCCAAAGGGCAGCCAGGCAGGGACGCAGCCCCGCCCAGGGGAGCCCGCGCCTGTCTATGCAACCAGGAGGCTCACCGTGCCAGCTAACCATAAGAACTATGCAGACCCTGTGGCTTCTGTGGACAGAAGTGTCCTCCGGGACGAGACGTCAGATCGTCATCCGTCTCCCTCCCCACCCCACCACCACCCCCTTCTCTGACTCAGACTCTCTTGGTCTCTCCCCAGCCTAGGAGGCCTAGGCTCACGGGCGTTTGCCCAGGGCAAGCTGCTTCCTTGCTAGCGCGTTTTCCCTCGGGCGGGGTGGGAGTAAACAAAGACAACTCTGGACGCCGCATCGGGCCCAGATGCCTCTGCTTCCCCCCAGATCCAGCAAAGACCCAGCACAGGGTTCAGACCCCAGCCTGGCCATCGGTGTGCCCTCCCTGGGGCTGCTCCTTTGTCTAAATTGAGGTTGGTGGGCCCTCGGGGTTTGGTGGGAGGAGGAAATGGAGGTGTGGAAAGTGGGCCCGGGGTGTCTGCCCACCAGGTTGCATTCCTGTCTGAGGAGCAGGAGGGAAGGCGGAGGGAGGGGACAGCCCAGGCCGTCTGGGTCACAGAGGAGCTGGGGGCAGGAAGAGCGGGCAGGTGGCCCCCTGTCGCGGAGGCGGCAGTGAGGGACTCTGACCCCTGTGAGCATTGCTGGCGGGACGAGCGTCTCCCTGGGGCAAGTACCAGGGGAGAGGGCTCTTTGGGGGAAGTGCCTTAAAGCACAAAAGTAAAGCTGAGAACATCAGTGACAAGAAGGTGGTCGGGGTCCGTCCACAGTCCAGTCCTAAGCAACAGCACATCTGAGGTCCTGTCAACTCAGAGAAGAGAGATGTGCGAGAAAAGCAGACAGTTCAGGGCAGCATGCGCGAAGCAGAGATGGAGACCTTCCATTTATTTGCTTGAGTATTTCATATTTTTAGCATATTTTCTCTGAACAGAAATGGTTGTAACTGCTCAGAATGAAGGGGAACTAAAGCAGGAAGCTCCCATGAGCAGCAGGTGGCCTGTGACGAGGAGGGGGGAGGGGGTGACAGGACGATGAGGGCCCATCAAGTGCGTCTGAAGGCAGGTGGACTATATCCCCAGCCCTAAGGCTTTTCTTTTCTTTAAGACAATTTACTATTTGACTTCTGGGATCATTAGAAAGCATTTGAAACTTCCAGCACGACTGAAGTACAAAAATTTTAGCAAACAATTAAAAAGATAAAAGGATGAACCAGTTCTTCCTAAGTAGCAAAGTCAAGCTAAGGTAGAAATTAAACATAGAAGGATTGCTGATTCAGAGGAGTTAGAAAACCAGTGCAATTATTTCAGAGACAATACCCCAGGTATTTAATCAAACCATCTTGTATAATCCAAGGAAACAGAATATTTATCATTTATCATGGACTGAGTGTGCTTGTCCCCAGGTTTCACGTGTGGAACCTCTAACCCCAGAGGGGAGGCGTGTGGAGGCAGGGCCTTGGGAGGCGGTCGGGGGAGCTGAGGCCCTGGGGGTGGGCTCCCCACGGTGGGACGGGAAGGGGTCCTGGGGGCACAGGTGGCTGCAGGTGCAGGCCAAGAGCAAAAGCAACCTGCCCCCGGAGCCCCCATCTCGGAGGCCCGGCCCCTAGCACTGCGGGAAGCTCACTCCCCTGTCCCGTGACAGCTGCGCCTCCGAGCGCCCCTCCGCGCTCACAGCAGAACACGGGAAGAGCTGCGAGAGGAGCACTCGGGGCTGGAGGAGAAAGAAGCACACGTCCTGCCTGTTTCTTCTTTACGACCAGGAAGGTTGCTTTCACCGGAGCCCTTCCCCGAGCACGTCTCCTACAGGAACCGTGCTGTGCGCGGGTGGGGGCTGCAGACCGCAGGCGCCAGCCCTGGGGAGGCGGGCTGCGCCGGAGAGAAACACAGCCAGCAGGGCAGCCCAACAGCCCCCGAGAGGCCGGGCCCTGCGCGGGGCCCGGGAGGGAGCGCTGTCTGGACTCGGGGCCGACGGTGCAGTTAGGGGTTTACCTGGGAGGAGAGGGGCCTGGTGCTGAGAAGGGGAGCGGAGGGGAGGGGCTGGTGCAGGGCAGGCAGGGGTCTGGAGCTGCGGTGGGATACAGTGAGGGTCCCAGTGGGGTGGTCCATGGGGGTCCGGATCCTGGCCGATGCATAGGAGTCCGCGAGCTGTGGGGACGAGGGCAGGCCGCCCGCGTGGGAGCAAGCAGGGGCTGCTCAGGCAGTGCTGCTGCAGCGAGGGGCTTGGCCACCCTCAGTGATGTCACTAGTGTCACTAGCGTCTGGCAGAGTCTGGGCACCGGGGACGAGAGAGCTTCCGGGGGGAAAGGGGGTGCAGGGGCAGTGGAGGCGGGGGTTACGAGAAGTGGGGCTCCTAGGAGGTTGGTGAGGGGAGCACTTGGGGTTCCTCCGGTTGGTCCTGAGCTGGACACGAGGACAGACAGTAGGGCATCTGTCGGCCGTAGGTCAGGTCCTGCCTGGTCGGGGTGGATGGTGACAGACCTTCCTGCTCAGCTTTGCTCACAGATGTCCCCGCAGACAGCGATCTGCCTTCCCGCAGCTCCGACTCACTGGCTTCCTGGGATGTTTGCTGCAGACGGAGGGTGGGGTGGGCTTCCTGGGCACGTGGCTGCCGGCTGGGGGTCAGAGCCCATGTCATAGGGGATCTGCTCATTGTCCAGTGTATGCTCAGCAGGAGAACCTGTTAGACTTGTATTTGGAAAGGCCTGTGATCAGCTGTGCTGAGCTGGGTCTAGGCAGAGACAGGTGGTCCTGCCCAGGGGCGTGGCCAGCGCCACCCCGGGGGGCGTTGAGGAGGCCCGTGCACACGCGTGGCAAGAATGCTGGCCATTCTGTGGTTTGAGGGCCTCCCTGGCTCTTGCAGAAGGCACCCCAAGCAAGTGACCTGAAATGCAAAGAAAACTCAAGAGGTTCCCTGTGCCATTCATTTAAGAAATGAGAATTCTCACTGAAACAAGGACATAGCCTCACCTCTAAGAACATCATGATAAAAACAAGACTTTCTAATCAGAGTTTTTACTTCCATTTGAAAATTCTTATTCCGTTTTATCTTTTACTCCATTTTATTTCCATGTGTATGTT